CGGTGCAGAAATGAGCCTATACACATTCAGCTTGTCAATTTTGGTGCATGTTACCTTTTACCTTTCACAGCTGAGACACACAAGGGGAGTTCCTGGGCAAAGTATTATATTGAGCAGCTGTAAGATTGCATATGTGAAAGACTGTCACCAACAAAAATAATAGTAAAAATATATGAACACAGTTGTGTGTTTTTCTGGGGTTGAAGAAAATATAACCCCAAAATGAGTTATTTTGATGCTTTGGAATACAAACAAGCAGCAGCAAGCTGAAAGAGGTAGCAATCAGAGTGGGCAGGAGGAGACAAGACAGGTTCCTCTATTTATTTATTTATTTATTTATTTATTAAAACATTTTTATGCCGCCCCATTCGCCGAAGCCTCGTGGCGGCTCACATCATTAAGTTAAAATAATTATAATATAAATTAAAAATATAAATATTAAATTAAAATACAACAATACAGTATAAAATAAGCCGCCCTGGCCAGATAAAACCAATAATGTTAACAGTTAAAATGCCGCTTGAATAAAAAGGTCTTCACCTGGCGCCGAAAAACAAATAACGACGGCGCCAGGCGGACCTCTCTGGGGAGCGCGTTCCATAACTTAGGCGCCACCACAGAGAAAGCCCTCCTCCGAGTATCCACCCTCCTAATTTCTTTCATGGAGGGTTCCTGGAGAAGGGCCTCCCCCGCCGATCTCAAGGGGCGGCTGGGCATATATGGATGCAAGCGCTCCTTCAGACAGAACAGAGAAACTAGAGAAACTATAAAGGACACTGGGATACCAGTACGAGAGCTGAAGGGGAAAACAAGCCATTGTGAGCCCACTCATCTCCCTGATACTCCATCAGTTGTTCTATGAACAGTGGATACCTTATTTGCAAAGTGGCTTAGCATGACATCTGAATGAAATTGTTTAATAAATTGTAAATTATTTACTAAGAATGAGCTGGTCAGTAACCGTAATAAGTTGTCGTTGGTCATTGTCTACTTTGACCAGCCGTGTCTTTCTAGGCTTCAGGTAGGATCTTTCCCTGACCTACCTGAAGGGTACCGGTGTTCTGATGTGGTTAAGAGCATGGAAGTAGGACTCAGGCAACCTGGGTTCTAGTCCCCGCTTGGCCATGGAGCCAATTGGATGACTTTGGGCCAGTCACAGACTCTCAGTTCAACCTACTTCACAGGATTGTTGTTATGGAATAAGATTGAGAGCAGCAAGAGGAAAATGATGTAAGCTGCTTTGAGTTTGTTATGAGAAAAGGGCAGGATATAAATCTAATAAATAAGACGCTGTTCATACACTGGCTGTGTTCAGACAACACAACAAGCCATAGTGATTTTTTAGTATTTCTGATCTGTCATGTTGTCTGAACACAATCATGGCATATCACCATGGTAAGTTGGGTCTTCAGAAAGCACAAGATGAGCCAACAGTTTGTTCTCTAGTTTCTCTGTTCTGTCATGGCTTGTCCTGCTTGTCTGATCATGGTTTCCATGAAGGACCTGCTCCAGTCATCCAGCTATTTTGTGTGGACAAAAGAGGAATAGACATGTGACATAGGTGGGGAGCAGTGTCACATGGGACTAAATTTCAGGCACAGTGGCTGATGATATGCACGTCAACCATGGGAAGACTGAGCGAGGAGAATTTGATAGTCCGTCAGGTAAATCATGGTAAAATATCATTAACCATGACAACCACTCAGGGTTGCTTGTGTGAATGCAGCCACTGCATATAGGGTTCATATATTTAGAGGGGGCTGCTCTTGTATATCCAAACTGTATTGTTGGATGGACCTTTTAGACTCTTGATTCTGATTCCCAGAAACAAATTATCATCCAAAAGCATCATTTTGTTGTCAGCCTATTACATCAAAGACCTTTCAAACAGAGCTTTGTGACAATGGTCTTGCATCTGTTGGAAGAAGCCTATGTAAAAATCACTCTGCAAATGATTTTGTTTCTTTTTGGGAAGAAACTACATTCCCACCTCCACATACTTTTACTCCAGTATTCTAGTTGCAGGGAATATGATGGGGACATGTCTTAGCAGTCCTCATCAGCTTGTTCAGGGTCATGGGGATCTGCCCTTTGGTTCACTGCAGCACAGAACACCTGAGAAGAGTCACTAGAGGAACAGGTTTTGGGCTCTTGTACCTGCAACACCTCCCCAAGAGCACCTTTGAATTTTAATAGACTTGGAGGAATCCACTAAGGTGGGAGTGGTGCCCTTTCTTTTGCTGTGGGCAGTCTGTGCCATGATAGATAATAAACGAGGAGATCAGCTATTCTGTGAGGAATGGAATGAGGATGTACCAAGTCATATTCTTACTGAATGTATTTCACTTATACTGCTGCTCCTATTTTAATGAAAGGGGTCACCTGAACATTATTCTTGCCAACCGCAAATTTTTCATTTGGAAGGGTTTTCATGGTGAGCAGAGATGGATTACAAAGTCCTTTGTCTACTTGTCTATATTCTGTGAATTTGGCAGCAATGTCTGAAAAAGCAATTTAATCATACTTTGGGTCTACTGACCTTGGCCAAGTAGCAGCATTTGTGCCAGTGGAATCCATGACCAGGGAGCAGGTCAGATATCTTTACTCATAAGCAGATTATTCTGATCACCTGCTGAGCAGAGAGCAATTGCTCTGCGCTATAGCTGCAATGCTGGCATACAGCAACTGTGCAGCAGCATTGTGGAACAATCACTGCACTCAGGGATATGGGTGAATCCTCAGCAAATGTATCACAAAAAGCCGGTTGTATTACTGTAATCCATAGGTGGCCAACCTGCAGCATCAGCAACATGAACATCAGGCTAGAGCAAGTCAAGAGGGGCGGACCTGAAGGAGGTTTATAAAAGTATGCATAGTGTAGAAAAGGTGGATGGAAAGTCATTCCACCCCCACCCCCACCCACCCCTCTCTCTCTCTCTCTCTCACACACACACACACACACACACACACACAACACTGGAATTTGGGCTTATCCAATGAGGCTGCATGTGGGAGATTCAGGGCAGCCACTGAGCGTAGCGAAACCTCACAGTGGCCATAGCAAAACTGGTGAATTCATTACCACATGATGAGGTATTGGGCACCAGAATGAGGGTCAAACTACATGCTACTTCACTTGCATGGCCTGTGCTGGTGCTTCTCTCTAATTCTAGAGCAGGGGAGCAGAACCTCTTTCAGCCAGATCCCTTTTTAAAGTTACTCATGGGAGCTACATTTAAGTGGTGGATGGAGGTCAAGGCAAAGTCACAGGCAGCCAAGTTCAAGCAATCAGGTACCCATTGAATTAAGAGAGCAGTGAGGACACACAGGCAAAGTACCCCTGTGGGATGCCATCATATGGCTGGTCATACTTCCCTTCATGGAAAGAGATTTCATGACATGCATCAAACAATACCCTTAAGGACATGAAACCCCACTTTGTATTCTTTAGTTTGAAACTGTGTGCTCTTATTTGAGTTGCTAGGAAAAATACTTGTATGCCTATATCTCAAATATTGGCATATTTGCAGAATCAGATATCTGGGGCTTAACAAATCAGCCCTGAAAGCAACTTCTGCAATGATGAGAGGTTTAAGCTTTATACAAGGGGATGGGCCACCTGTAGTCCTAAGAAACCATGTCCCTAGGCAGTTAGCATGGATGGGTGGCTCAAACAACTCGGAATTCCTAGAAGGTGTAGGTGGAGGCTAGCAGTTTTGGACAGCAGTGCAGAAGCTTCCTTTTTGTCAATACTCATGACTGACAACCAAATTATTTCTGCTGCCAAACAAGAATGCTTCAAAGTATAGACCCAGATGCTGTAGTTTTTTCGAGGCTTGTGAGGCAGTAGGTAGTGAGTTCCAGTACTAGGGAATGAAGAAGGGATATCTTTTTAATATATTTCTTTCCAACCATGGCCTGCCCGTGCTATGGTATATAGCGCTTGAAGGCTGTCATCCTCATATATGAGTAGTTCCAAGCTATATGATAAAGGCTATACTACTCTGTAGACTGGGAAGGCTGCCTGCCCACCTGAATGCTGCCCCTGTATTAGTTTATTCATTTATTTAATTTCTACACTACCCATTAGTCAAAATGGTTCTCTGGGCACTCCCATGAAGGGCACAGCTAAGGCCTTGGTGAGGCCACGTCTGATTCCTGGGCCATGAGTTTAATCCCTATCCTAAATGCTTTCAGAGTATTTTGGCTGGTATAGCTTTTGATCAGGTGTAACGATAGCCCCTTACACCTGATCAAGAGGACAAGCAAGCCAGAATTATCAGTGTATGTTTCTCACATTGGGTTTCAAAAATTGTTCAAAAATCAAAACTATAACCACAATCACATTTTTAGGTTTCATTTTACTTGATGTCTTTTATGAACAAATTATGAAATATACTTCACAAATTCAAAGTATTTACAGTTTCTTTACAGCAAGGCATTGTTCAGGTTTTGACTTATGGCATCCATAAAGCATTCTGTCTTTCAAAACAAAGACATCAGTATTGTAGCAGCAGGTTCATAATCCATTTATTAGCCTCTGCCTAGGAGAGGCAAGCCGTTCAAGTCTAATTTCCATTCTTTACAATCCATTGGTTCAACCCTTTCCATCTTCAAATGCATGGGTTATTTTATTGTTGTTTTGAATTCCAAAAAATCTTTTTAAGGAGAGTCTGAGTAGAGTCTGCAAAGTCAGTTTCAAATACGATCACATTTATGACAACATGTTCAGTCAAAAAGAAGAAAATATTAGAGATGCAATAATTACTGGGTATCTTCAAAATATGCAGTAAATTATCTTCAAATAATGCGAAAGAAAATCAAAGCAAACCTCTGAACGGAGATGCAACTGTGCTGTTTTGTTTGCTTTTGAGCTGTAACTTTATTGCAAATAAAAGCCACATCATTTTTAACATCTTCTCTCACAGTTGCTAGCATCTAATAGTGTTTCTCTTGTGGAGGATCCTGAAATTAGTTGTTCTTTGAACACTGTAAACCTTTCAGTATGCTCTTCCATTATAAATTAGATGTGGTCCTCCATTGCACATATTGTCCGTCATTTCCTGTAAGAATTAAAATGGGTAATTATCATTAAAGGTGTTACACGTTGCTGATTATCCAGTACAGTTCTAAGTAAAGTAGCAACTCTAGCTCACTCACGTGGAGGACAAAGTCAGAAATCACCCCCCAGGTTGTAGATGGCTTATCCTTGCCAGCATCTGTGGGAACTATATGCACATACAGCCATAATGTGATGTGTCAGAATGCAAGCTGATTGCATGAGAATGCAGCAAAATGACGCTTATGTTATGCAGGAGAGCAGCACAAGATTCTTTTGGATGCCAGCCTTAGCCATTCCAGCATAATCTGCAGCAGTCCTGTGTTGAAGACCTGTAACCTTGCAGCCTTGCAATGGATCATGAAACTCAGTGGCCTGGTTGGCCTTTCGACTCTTCTCTCCAGACTTTGTGGCTTTTATTTAGGCCTTTAATGTGGCATAGAAAAATGTGAACCACAAAGTGAAATACAATAAATCCATCACAGCTTTCTTGGGTCAAACAGCTCTCAAACGAACTGGAACGTTTCTTGGCTTTCACCTTCTTTTTGTTGCAGCCCTCAAGCTCCAGTTCTCCCTGGATCCTGATGGACTCATCTACTTTGTAATGACTCACCCACTCGTACTTTCCATCTGGACTTGGGCCTATTGACTCCTTGGTTCCTCACACCCAGTACTCCCATGTGTTGGGATCCCTTTCCTGGTTGTTCCATGCCTCCTTACAGCAATAGGGCCCCTGTTCTTTCTTCACTCACTGATGCTTCTAGATAGCTGGTAGCACAGGAACCAAGACAATGTCAGGGTTGAAAAGTCCCTTTTACAACAAATAGTAGCAAAAATGCTTTCCCCAGGCCGTTTCCTCCTGTTAATCTGCCCTGCTCCTACCAAGATTGCACCGTAAGAAGGACATGGAGCATACATTTTAATTATGAAAGGAATCACAGTTGAATCTCCACAATCACTTATACCTTGGTCTCTGCTGGGATTTCCAGATAGGGTGCCAGATATTGTCGGTTGTGGTGGGGGTGTGGTGATGTAGACACCTGTCTCCTGGGAAAGAGAGTGAGATGAGTAAACTCACATCCCATTAGCTATGAAGCACCAACAGATGTTGCTAATGAAAGCCTGTACCAGCCATGAATTACATCTCGGAGTAGAGCTCAGGAATCATCACTATCATGATCAGGCATTTCCTCAGTTTAAGTTTCTGTGTTTATAAAATCGTAATTATTGTTTGCTTGTTTACATGAGCAGAGAAAATGAAATCTTTTTCAGTGGCTAAAAAGTGGGGCTGCTGTCAAAAGTTCGTACCTTCTCCTTTGCCTTCTTTCCATTATCAGCACAATGTACCAGGGAATTTTAGTTTAGTTTATTCTTGTACTTCCTTCAAAGTTATTGTGTTTTACTGTAATGTTTGAGTACTGTCCGTATCAGAATTTGCAGGGATGGGGCAGGGGAGGGGAAGGACCCCTGATTATTCTGCACCTAAATGCTACTTTAGGAGACAAAGACAATGACAGTCTTCCCCCACCTATGCATATAAGTCTCCAAAGTCAGAGGCTTCTGTGTATCCAGTAGTCAAAGTGAAGTGCAGTGATTTCCACTGCACCTCACCCTGTGCCTTTTCTCTAGCTGGCCATCTTCAGTCATCTAGGTAAAGTGATGGGGAGGGAAGAAGGATGGGAAGCCAGTAGAAATTAGCAGAGGGATATGGCCCCAGCCTCCACCCACCACACATCCTGCCCCATCCATTTCTCTCTCTAAGGGGTATCTGTGCTCTCGGATAGGCAGCCAGTGTGATTATTCCCATGCCAGCCATGAAGGGGATGGGGTGGGGGCTCCACTTTTTGAGTTCCAACAATGCTGCTACTCTGAAAAGTCCTGTGGTCCCCCGGGTGATGTGGAAGGCCATGGGATTGTGTCCCGAGTGCATTAACAAGAGAAGAATGCACTCCATTGACAATTTTAGCAATAGGAGATGTTTGGAATAGGATGTCTCATCAGTTGCAGTTTGATTCAGAGTCTCATGCTAAATTAACTTTTGGGAGAATCCAGTGTTGAAAATGAAGAGATGGCTTTTCACATGCAGGAGATGGGCTGATAGTGGAATTTATACTTTAGATCAATTAACATCAATGGATGATTATATATATATATATATATCACTGTCAGTATTGCAGATTAGATATCATTTACTGACTGAGCTAGTTGGCAGCACATTCAGCTACAGCATTCATGGACTTGGAACAGTCCATGGAGTCCACTCAATTCAAAGTTGTCTTAACTTCCTTATATACTATTTAAAATGGACTTTGATAAAACAAAAATGGATGTTGCACGTATATTGGATAGAATAGAGGAAGAAGCTGGCTAGCTCTTATAGGTGTTGGTGATATACTGAAAATGCCTGATTGGGGTATATGATGTGGCCGTGTCATGGAAGTCATATAAAGCATACACATTTTGTTCTTGAAAAATCTGTGATGACCTCAGATGCCCACATACTTCTAAACTACATCCCTATTATTTGGGGATTAACAGAGGGATAACAGAAGTGGATACTGAGAGCCCTTTTAGCCACAAAGCAACTTTTACTTCAAGCTTGGAAGGAAACATGCTCACAGCTGTCACTCAGAGACTAAAGAGCTTTCTGCTCTTGCAACGTTTGAGTACATCTCCTACAGCGGTCAATTGCATAGGAAAGGAAATTTATCTGTGTGCTCCACTTTTATTACTGCTGTGCATGGAATGGAAGTGTTGCATCCTTCCTTTCTCCCTTTTTTGCTTTGTTGTGTTTGCAAATGTATATACAGAGGGTGCCAAAAATGTATACAGATTTTAAGAAAGGAAAAAAAAACCTGTATTAAAAACTGCTGTATGGTGACACTAGGATTAATTTGATTATTGCCATCTTTTGAGCAAACATCATACTACAAATTGCTACTGTAATTCAATTCAACTTCAAAAGTAATACATAGATAACATCTTTTAAAATGTATATACATTTTAACACCCCCTGTATTTTAAGCTATACATTCCTTGTTGTAGCTTTTTTTCCTGATGCAGATGTAGCTTTTCATTCTATAAACAAGTTCAAACTGAAACTGAGTCAAGAGACATAAATCACATAAACAAGCTCCCAATAAATCTGCTCATGTGAGAGTTTGAATAAATTAAGTGCTTTTAAGGCACTTAGCACATTGAAGATTCAATAGAACATTTAACAATAACTGCATATGATTGGTTTGCTAATGAGCAAAAGTCTTAGCGCCTTTGCATTATCCGATTACAACTTAGGTATTTGAACTTCACTTCTCATTCACTATGAACTTTGAGCAAGTTTGCACAGCACAACAATTGAAACGGGCAATCATCCATGAGATATTGGTTGTTGTATGAACAATCCATGATGCTTCTGACAGGCACGCTATGTTTTGTTTACCCCCTTGCTGCACTCCAGTGATCCCACAGGTATTCCATGAGTCCCTGCTGCAGGACTGACTTGTTTCCCCTCTGCAACTGCAACCCATTTTTGGCTCTCTGTGGCTTTTCCCCATCCTCCTTTTTTCAGAGATCATAAAGTACAGCTTTTACAGTCTCCATTTGGACTGCCACTGAAGCCCATTCAAAGCACTCAGTGGTGATTTGGAAGGAATCCCTATGGTTGTAGCCCGTTTTTCCAGGGGAAGTCTCACTAACATGTGTAAATAGTTACTCACTAAAAAAAATGTTTCCAGTCTTCTACATGTGCATATCTGAACACTTACAGGGCTCCAGAAAGGGCCCTAGGCAATGTCCCAGGAGGTACCTGCTGCCAAAGTGCAAGAGGTACCAGTCCTGAACATTGGTCCAGTTTTGCATCCAGCATCAGTACAACAACCCATGGCTTCTCAGGGTGGTTTGTTGTCTTCAAACAAGCTATGCTGTGGGAATTGCTCCAAGGTTACATGACATGACAACCCATCATGGCTTGTCACTCACTGTGGGTTGTCACATTGTGTAAGCCCTGACAGCTACTTTTTCACTGAAATATTTTTCTCATGACTATATATCTATAACTATGTGGAAGAACAGTGTGAATCTGAGATGTGAAAGTGCTGTTTAGCGAGATGCAAGGCGACCTAGGGATACTCCCAACAGAGATCATTTGTATGCCAATAGCAAGACATCAATATTTTAAGTGAAGAACATACTTCCAAGTCTATTATCACACTGTGTATTGTTCTCTATACTATTTCCTATTAATGAAGACTTCTGCGAGTGACCTCAAAGCAAGAACTAAAATCGATTATGAATTTTTCAAAGAAGAGACACTTCCAACAGTCACATAAAAGCATTGCAGCTCTCTAGAAGGCAGCATACCTTGGAGGTAACTCTGGTGTTGGAGGAACCACAGGGCAGCTGGGCAGGTCAGTTATTTCAATACCCCTCAATCTCTAACATAAAACATGAAAGTTATAAATAAAGCACAACAGATGCACATCAAATACGCTTTATAAGTATAAAGTACACAGAACTGCACAAAAGTGGATGCTTCACTAAATATTTCAAGACAAGGTACACAATCAATGGCCTCCTGCAATGTTTCTTTCACTGGACTGGATCTTAGCAGAATGCACAGAGGAGATCAGATGCCTGAATGTGCTCCACAGTAAGAATTCCCAGCCCATTCAGAGCAAAGCATCACAAGGGTGACTACTTTAAATATGTGTATTCTTCCAACAGCTTCTTTTTGTTTTTCATTTTTCTCTAACGTAGATCCAGATTAGGAAGTGGTTCAGGGAGTCTGGGGCAGGGACTTTTAAGATCCAGACCAGGCATGTTCCTCTATTGTAGAATAAAAACTGGGGGAGGATTAGATGCCATATGCACATTTAAAGTACATAATTTAATTTGTCAGGCAAAGCTTGGGTAGAACCTTCTCCCTGAGAAGCAGGTTTTGCATTCTCTAGGAATAAATCTGTGTTGGGGGGGTGGGGGTGAGTTGAGGGGAGGTCAGTGATTCCCCACTGTGTAGTTTCACCTCCTACATCATGTTAATATGGTTATCTCCCTCTTTCACAAACGACTTAATGGGAATGTAAAAGAATTTAATAATATTAAGCAGTGAGGTGTGGAGAGAGAAAAGAGATCCATTAATTAAGCAGCCATTCAGGTATTTTGTGAGTGCTATATTTAGTGGCAAAGCATTTGGATAGAGTTATATAATGGAATGATGCAGATAATGGATGCATTTTACTGAAATGGGTGCATTGCAAAGGATAACATAGCTAAATATAGTTTCCTGTAGCAGAATGAAGCTTCAGCCCAAGAGAAGCGTGTTGATTTCCGGGTGACTTTTAAAGCTGAAAATTGAATTCCTCCCTCCTGCCAACTCCCTATATTAGAACACAGAGTTGTTTTGGAAGGATCAGGAAACGAGCTGAACTTACTTTCTCTGCCATTTCGTGGGAGTGATGCAGCGAGTGCTCCCTTTCCGAAAACATTCTTCTTTGCTCATAGCTGGCTAGCCGACAGGTGAGCCAGGAAGACAGAGTGCAGCCCCCAATTCCAATACATGCAAGAGACATGGAGGTGAGATGCAATGGATAGAGAGATGGGGATTTCTTGGTCAGAGCTCGAAGGAACTGAAAATTTAATATTCCTCCAATTAGTCCACAGATACAGCAGGCTGAGAAAAGTATCATCTGGTAGGAGACAAGAGAAATCGCATTATTATCATGGCATTTTCTGAAGGAAAAGACAATTGAGAGCTGCCTCTAGAGGAAGCTGGTGGGGCTCCTTATCCATTGCAGCTGTTGTTCTGACTTTACAGAAGTTAGCCATGGTGCTCCATAGCAGTGAGCCTATTTTGGGAGCGGAATTCAGCATCATCCATAGCTCCTATGAAGAAAGGCTATAATGAATTATTTATTTGTTTAATTATTTGACTTGTATGCAGCCCCATTACCCAAAAGGATAAGGAGACTAACTGATATAGGAGTCATCAGCCACCCCTATATTTACTCTACATTTAAGGGCAGAGTAAATATAGTGAACTCTGTGCAGAACTCTATTTACACAGAACATGTTAAAAAGCACACAGAAACTGTGAAAGACATACGTACTACTTATAAAGAACTTTCAACAAGTGCACTATACAAAGATCACTACACCTTTTGTGTGTCAGCCAGATAAATCAGACTAGGAAACGGTTGTCTGTCCAAGGTTATTCCATTCTGGATTAATCACATACTCAGTTCCATCAGAGGTTACTTTTAATTGAGCATACAACATGCCAGGAATTGCACAGTTGAATGACCTCAGATTGTCTATTTAGCAAAGTAACTTGGACAAGAATGCACAGTACTAGAGCAACCAACCTAGAAAAACTGACCAGTGTTTTTGGAAAGTCCCATTCCTTCAAATACTGAAGAGGAGAAACATAAGAGCAGAGAAGGACTCTATTTCGCTCTTTGACTTCCTTTCTATCCAATGCAATTTCTCATCTTTTCCTTGCTTGTCCAAATCCTAGTCATAGTTTCACATGACCATGTAGACACAAGCAGAGGTTTATTAAAAGGGTTTTGCAGGAAAGCCTAAAATGACTGCCTCCATTAGAGCCTCACTTTAAAGCAATAGAATTGCTTTAATAGTGGAAGCAACTAAGGTTGGTGTTTCTGACAGCCATACTGAGAGAGATGCAGTTGGATGACCCACCTGTGGAGACTTGTAGGATGGAATATAAGGAGAAGGGAGGGCAGAAACTCTTCTCCCTTTCTCTGCCCTGCCACTATCTTCACCAAATTCCAACTATTGTGTTTCACACTCGTATGCTTTGTTTTATTCACTATGTCAGCTACTCTGTGGTGGAGATGGGGGTGTACTACAGCCAGTTTATTATTCACCTTTCCTGCATCTGTAAGTCCATATTGGGCAATATTTTCTGAGCACCTTCCCCAGCCCAACAAACATGCAGAATGATTCAGTCCATGTTCTCCATCCTTTCACATGTTGTTTATGATGAGATCCATGCACACTGTGTAATCTGCTTGACGCATTTCCTGATGGATCCTGAAACCTACCTTTTCTTTTTATTTATTTATTTATTTATTAAAACATTTTGGTGGTGATAGAATAGGGACCTGGCAGTAAAGAATTCAAAGCATGCATTGATTTGCACTTCTGCTAATGGTACATAAGGGAAGTCATGCAAAAACTTACAATAAGTCCTGATTTTTTTTTGGCACACAGTATTCCGCATACTCCACAAAGCAGAAACTGTAATGAGAAGAAGAATGTATTTCATAATTTAAACTCTGCTGTGCTGTAGGTAACAGTAATGCAAAATTCATTATCATAGTTGCAGCTATATCTAAATTATAAGATTACACTTTCAAAAGCAAGTTCAGCCAAACCTCTGTATAGTCAAGACAACATAGAAAGTCTGTTTCTTCAAATCTTATTTTCAGGATCAACTATGACTGGCTGCTAGGGCAGGACATCTCTTGCAACTTAAGTATTATTAACTATTGCTACAAAAATATTGTCCTTGTCCAGAAGGTTTTCCAGTCTGCCTCTGAAGTGTTGTCAAAACAATGAACCTGGCAAGGGAATCCTCTTCTTGTCTCTGACCTTTGATGATTACTAGCATAGTGCTAGGTGTAGAATGTCTGTGGTGTCTTTTGCTAGCCATTTGCTAAATTATCAGAGATAAGGAAGGAATTATGTTGCTAGCATGGAAAATGCCAGGTAGTGCCACCAGACTTTTTTCAGTGGTGACGGTAGAAGCAGTTCTGGTGTACTGCACGGTCAAACTTTTTGCACCCCTGTGATAGGCAATGGGATCTCTGAAACTGGAACTAGTGATAAGAATGGTAACAAGTACAAAAATAATACTGTGAAAAGGCCAACCAAATGCTACAGGTCAAGCATGAGCCAATAGAATCAAAATGAACATGTACTTTGAAAAGAAGAATATTAAATTCAGAAAGTAAAACTCAAAATCTAAAGCTAAAAATGCAGATTTCAGGATGAGGACTGTAATCTTAACCCATCTTCTTGGGAATAAGCACCACTGAATACAAGTATACACGCATAGATTACACTTCATATCTGACTTTCTTGGTCAGTTTGTACACAGGTAATTCAAGCAAACTCAGTTTGACTCACCCTTCTCTAATTTACTACCAGAAAATTCTTCTGTTTCAGAACATCTTTCGGATTCACTTCAGAATGCAATTATTTGAAAAGAAAAATTGACACATTCAATCCTTCCCTCCCACGCTTTCCCTTTATTTTTTTAGCTCTTTTTATCACATCACCAGGTTTAGATGCTGTCAATAGCCTCTAAGCCAGAATCATTACTTACTGGAAAATCAAGATAACTTTTCTGCCAACTTTAATATTCAAATGTGTCATTTGTTTTGTTCAACATGTTCAATTTTGCATACTTAAGAGCATAGGAAGGTGCTTCCGCTGAGTCAAACCATCTGTTCATTTAGATTTGCATTGTCAGCATTGACTAGAAGCCATTCTCCTACCTGGAGATGCTGAGGAGCCAGACACATGAATGCAAGCCAATGTCCTCATGTGAGTATCCCACCAACTGATTGCTCAGCACAAGTCCACCGAATCGACAAATTCAAGTTGAAGCCTTGGGTGGGGTGGAATGCATGATAAACTGATGTATGTAACCAGTCATGGGCCCCATAAGGATGGTCTTTCTTCTGCCTAGCTTTCAGGCACTCCTTTCTGTGTAAATTGACTGTTGGGGGTGGATCCATCAGAAATCATTTAGGGTGGCCAAGGGTCCTAGGTTTATTTCATTTACTTCATTTCCATGCTACCCAACAGCCAAAGGTCTCTGGGCACAAATATTACAACCCAGAAATACAACTCACTGTTTGAAATTTTATCAGATGACAGTCCTTTATTTGACATATTTGTTCAACCGCATGGTCCTAGCCATGGTCCAAGCTAGATAAGGTGTCAAAATAAATTATAAGAAGAGAAAGGAGGAAAGTTGCCCATCAACAGCTTAACACCTGATCAGCAGACTGAGGAAGGCACATGGGTTGAACTGATCACAGGCCCCACAGTATAGTTGTGAGGACTGTTGTTGTAAACTGTCCCGAGACATCAGTGATGGAATGGTATATAAAAGTTTTAAATAAATAAATAAAATGAAAAGTATTGTATTTATGGTTACATTATTTCAAATTTAGCCTCTATGCTATATTTTTATTTCATGTAAATATTTTTATTACATTTCTGATCCACCCAATGGCCAATGTTCTCTGGCAGATTACAAATGATGTAAATTAGCATAAGCCATTCTCTGAGAATGATGCCACAGACAGGAGTAGAACCACCTAGAAGCTTTTCCCCGATACCCATCCCATGGAGCTGGTCTAGAAAGCTATGATGATCAGTATCAAAAGCTACGTAAGAAAAGCAAAATTACACTTCCCTTGTACTTCTCTTAACAAGATCATCCAGCAGGGTGAAAAAGACTGTCTTGGTTGTGGATCCAGACTGGAACATGTCTCGATGGTCAGTTTCATCCAAGAATACTTGCAGCTCACCTAAGTAGTCACAACTAGGTTTCTACCAACATTCATAATTCCTTGGATCCTGAAAGGGTGTCTTCAGAAGCAGTTGGGTTATTACTTTCTTCAAGACAGCAGTCCCTGCTCTTTCCTACAGTAATGTATTTACTATACTCTCAACTCACCAAGCAATTCCTCCAGCCTTAATTAGCCATGATGGGCAACTATCCCAAATGGGCCTTTTTTGCCCTCACCCCCATACCACAATGGTAGGGTGTGCTTCTTGTAGACTGTCAATCTCACAGTTTGCATTTACAGTCTTCTCAGTGGGCAGTCCTTGACACGATCATGAGATTAATTTGCTGGGAAATCCAGCAAGCTCAGAAAACCACCAGGTTCCATAAGTCTCCAAAAGCGAACTGCTCTAATGGAGTTCTCATCTCTGCAGAAGGAAACATCACCAGAAGTCGAAACTTCACTAGGGTAAGCATGGTAAGAACATGGGCAGGGCATTCCCCCCTCCCCTTGTTAGCATTCTTTAGTTATTCTCTCCACACCTCTGCAGTTAAATAGGGAGGCCTGGGTGTTCTCTGGCCAGTGGTGGAGACAGATCCAATCTACATCTTTTCAAAATAAGGGACAACAGTCATTATTACTTCTTTGTACCAGCATCCTTTGGTGCAACTTGGTATTGGTCTTCCTATCCAGCAAAGATGGTTATAATAATTTTCTGCCCGACAACTCCTACCCTCTTGTTTTTGAAGCAAAGTGAACTGATTCAACCAGCATCATTGCTGGAGGAGTCACAGATGATGGCAGGAACCCATGTCTGAGAAATGCAGCAGGTTTTTAAAAGTGTTGGCCCTGGTGGCAATGGTGAGGGGAGAATGCCCCTGAGTCTCCAGGGCAAGCAGCAAGAAGTTTCCAACTGTGGTTTAGCAGTACGCCAGACTCATCCCAGCAGCAACTTATAGCGTACTTTTTCCCCCAAAAAATGAGCATGGCTAGTGATAAAAAACAGACTAAAATATATTCATGAAGATTGTAACTTAACAATACATCAATGAAAATGCAGCAATAAAGGAAATAAGAATCAACCAACCAGTTAAAAAGCCCTTTAACAACAGAGCAGCTGCTGCGCCAAAGGCCTTCCTGAACACAAATGGCTGTGCGTGCAAAAAGGAGCAATGGCGAATATTGCCACCAGTGTGCAAAGGCACATATATCAACACTGCACACGCACATGCATCAAGGTTCTATTAATGCTTGTGTACAAATTGCTTGTGTACAAATTGAAGCAATCACAAACATGAACACATCAAGAAGATAGTTTTGTTTTAGGGGAGCGGGAGCAGACTTTGAGCCCATGGAGAAAGAATGGAAGGCACCCAAAAGTGGCACAAAACTGTCTATAGAGAGCAAATGCTGCCTGAAACTTAGGGGGAAAATGAAATGCCTCGGGGTCCCACTTCCTAGTATATTGGTTCCACTTCATTATTTATTATTTATTTATTTATTGAAACATTTTTATGCCGCCCCATTCGCCGAAGCCTCGGGGCGGCTCACAACAATAAATTAAGACAATAACAATTAAAATATATACATTAGAATAAAATAAGCCGCCCTGGCCAAATAAAATTCAATAGTATTAACATTTAAAATGCTGCTTAAATAAAAAGGTCTAGGCCAGACCTAGGCCAGATAATACTCAATAGCAAAATCTGAAGAGAAATTCAGGTGATGAAAAAATTGGAATCATGGCCATTCAGCAACGATTCCACCTTGAGACAGAAGAGGCCTTCATCCACTTTCTCCTTCTCTTCTTCTACCTAAGTCTCACTGCAGCATGAAGAAGGTGAGATTTTTGCTGGGAAAGTGGCTGGGCATGGAAACATTAACAGATTCCTGTGCCTTGTGAATCTGATGAAAATCAGAGCCACCACACTGACAAATTGTCAACAAAATAAAAACATTGTGTGGCTGCTAACCATGCAATTCCACCCTCAGACATACTCGTAACTCATGGTCTGCACAAATGCCACTTGCCAGCGCCTATGACTCTACTGGAAAGAGAACACTTGGCAAGACCATTGGAAAATGGGTTGCTGCATTCTGATCCGTTTGGACCTCTCACCTTTCACTCCCTCAAAAGTAGGGGAAATGCAACATATTTCTCCATAGGCAATTTCTTTGCTACTCGTATATACAAAAGTATACGAAGAGGCTGGCTGGCTCACACTAAGACTCCGTCTGGTCCAGCAATCTGTTCACACAGTGGCCAAGCAGCTGCTCACGGGCACCCACAAGCCCGTCATGAGTGCAATAGCATTGTGCCTCCCCAGCCGTTTCCTCATCAGCGGGTAGACATGGCTCTACAGCCTCGGATAGCTCAGAAAGACAGGACAGAAATATGATGCATCAACAACAGGCTGGAGAAAGAGGCACTGAGCACAGAACAGCCTTCCGCAAGCTGTTGCCCTCCAGGCACACTGGGCTACAGCGTCTCTCCACTGCAGCTAGCATGGCCGGGGTTGGCTGGGGTGCTGGAAGTTGCCGTTCTGACCACCACATCCAAAGGGAAATAGGCTAGGAAAGCTGACGGAGGATGGCCAAAAGGAGCCACCCAGGTAACCTCTGAGAGAAGATACTATTTCTGCCTTTTCAAGCCATCCATCAGGCTTCAGCATGGACAGGACAGGGCCTGTGGGCTTCTCCACAGAAGGCCCTTTG